AGTGGAGGGCTGCAGAAATTTCGGCCACCTAGGGTTCTTTAACGTGCACCCAAATCTGAGCACACGGGCCTACAACATTTCCACCTCCATCGGAAATGCAGCCGCCGCAGCCCGGATTCGATTTCGTGACCTGCAGGTCAGCAGCCGAGTACCTTAGCCACTAGACCACCGCGGCGGGGCATGATCTTAAAGGAGTCAGGTGCTAGGCGTACATTGTATAATAATTCTATTTGATGGTTTTACTGTGCTCAGTGCGTCGCCCTTGACCCGAAACTGGCTCTTGTTTTAAGTTGTCGCTGCTGTGAATGCTTTGATTGTTCGTTTTATGGTATTGGCGAGCCGAGTCAACATAATCGCGTTTGTTAATATTACTGAACGTGGTCAGCAAGCCCCAAAGGTGAATGAAATAACTGATGCGTATGTATCCCTCGAGCAAAGAATTCACTCTGATGTCTCATGGTCCTTTGCAGACTGAGGGCTTCAGTAATTGTGCACACGTTTGTCAGACTCCTGTTTCTGGCCAGCTAGAACTTTAACAAAATTATGAAAAAGGATTTGCGGAGCTCACTTCTGGCCTTGTTGGTACGACATGACTGAAGTAGACAAGCACACCGTCCGTGTGTGTCCTATTCGTTTTCTCCCGTATCGATAAATATAGGCTAAATAACTTCCGCTATGCAAAGTTAACAAGACAACAAACAATAAAATACCGCGGGTTTTACGTCCTGAAGCCACGATATGATTATGACAGGCACCATAGTGGAGATCTGATGAAATTTTCACCATTTGGTGTTTTTTTAACGTTCACTGGAATCGTATAGTACACGGGTCTCAACCATTTCACCTGCATCAAAATGCGACTCCTGTGGCTGTGAGCGAACCCACGACTTTCGAGTTAGCAGCCTAGACCCCCCTAACCACTGCTTCATCGCGGCAGTAAATAGAAAGCAAGACACACTTTCCATGTGAAAGACATAATCCTGAGGCAAGCCGTGCAAAAAAAAAGAGAGGGGAAGGGGAACCAAAGTTTAATTTTCGCCACTTGTGGTTTTACAGTATACATTAGTAGATGTAGGCACATGTTTTAGGTTTCACCCCCATAGCAAAGAGACTACGGCGGGTGGTAATCAACCCTGGACAACCTGCTCAGTTGCAGTTCCAAATCGTATGCACTGAGTGACCTCTGCGGCTTGGATAAGGAAATCCACAAGAATAAACTGGCATCCGTGGACTCGAAAACATACGCTCAAAACAGATAAATACGGCGAGAGGTTAGTCTATGCATGTAGATAGCCTTGAACGGGTACTAATAAAAATCTGTTGAATCGCTAAGAAGAAATTTCTTATCCATCGATCAGTACGTCGCTAAAAATGACATTAAACCGTTTGCACAATGTAATACGTGAAAGATTGAGCCATGTATATAGCACCGAATGACGAGAGTGTCAACCCTCTATGCGGCCACGGTTTTCGGGCGACAGCACATGTGAGGACATGAAAGTGCAATGACATGACTAGCAGTCTGCTTGTTGGAGCGTGGCAGTCGCCACTTGCGTGTTTCCACGATCAAAAGCCGATGATGACGTGTACAGTTCAAGGATACGTCCAGCCGTCAGCGATGGTTTATTCCCGGATGGTAGCCCCAGAGATTGAAGGTCAACGTCCACTAACCAAGGCCAGCGCATAGATGTGCAAAACCCTAATTATAGTAGCGTACGTCTAGAAACAGTCAACGAAAAAATAGTACGCGAACACGTCATTGGCAGAGTTCTCGCTATTAGTCGCCAATCAAGAAGGGAAACCTATTTTTTACCATGTGGTATTTGTCTCTGCTATACGAGTGAAACTACTTGAGACTTGGCCTGCGCCCACGCGGGATATAATGAGCAGAGAGCGACTCTTCTTTTAACGTTATATAGATATCTTATTTTACGTTATCGTTTATACATTGAGCCACACCGAGGCCATGCGCGAAATTATCCAGACAGAAACGATAGAAACGATTACCTTTTTTGAGACTGCACGTCAGTATACTCTTCTGTGGTGCTCACTGATAAAAAATATGTGCTTAGGTTTGTAGACGTGATGAATTCATGCAATATATTGGTACCCACTAGTACAATATATGTTACAGCTGCCGTGTAAGGCTGCTGTACCAGTGGGTAACTGTAAAAGCGGCGACTTTCTAAACAAATAAATCGTTGAAAGTTTAGCGCTCTGTGTCTTCCCTTCTGCCCCATCTTGTCGTTTGATATGACATGCACTCTTAATGATGTTGTACAAGCATGCCCAATCTTTCAGCGTTCCAAATCAACAACGTCTCTCAGCGCTTCGTATGCTCTACGTGCCAGTAAAGTGCGCAAGCGCTATGGGTGGTGCGGCTGAAACAAAGATGAAACAAGCTTGCCAACCCCGCTGCAAGGAGATAACTGATGCGATATGGCCGATGCATGGTGATGATCTATGCATATCTGCGTTAACATCGCCCTGCGTGCGAGGCCTGGCATCGATGGCTTCTCAAGCATACAGGAGACGCCGCTATAGGGTGTAAGGACGCATTGGTGGTGGGTTGCGTCGCTGAAGCAGCAGCTGTGAACTTTTATAATAAAGGCTCGAGGGGGGGGGGGGGACCACTGGAGCTCACTGCAGGCTGCTCCCTTGTTGCAATCGTTCACGTCTCTGCGCTCCTACACGGGCGCTATGGACGATTATTGACTAGATCTTCAGTTTGATAGGGATGGCATCATCCTAGTCTTGTTCGCGGGTGAGTCACGTATCCAGGATACTTGTAGAGCATCATTATATAGAGTGCCAAACACTGTGGATCAGTTTCTGTGTTAGTTATGCTTAGGAAACCACGAAGTATGACCTCGTTCGAAGCATCCCGAGTGTGTTTGCTTGAGATCTACAGTTTTGGGAGAGGAAGCACGAAGCTCCTGTGCTCCGCTCTATACTGGAAGGCAATCTCATGGAAGGTTAATAAGATTTGTAGATCTCGGACAAATCAATCAATCTCCACAGCCGTCGCAGAACGTGAGTTCAAGCGCGCGGCGATGAGCAATCTCATTTAGGTTCGGGCAACCCCGTAGCACGCAGTCGCTCATGTGCAACAGGGCATTCCATAATATAAGGCATAGCACCATAATAAGTTTCGGACCTCCTTTCAGACACAACATTGATCCCTTCAAATTACTCATACTCAGCAAGACTAACTGAATTAAAATCTCGCACTAATCATTTTTTTATAAAGGTGCCGTTTAGCTCATCTGTACCTGTTATTTAAGTTCTACCATGCATGCATCACCCCTTCTCCGGTCATCAAGCAAACCTACTATCATTTCGACTGCATTACCCATGGCAAGGCTATCTACCCGCCAACTGCGCACACCACTGCACACTTTTCCAGTCTTCATGTGAAGGCTTCACAAAATTAGAATTACCTTCCTCCTGAGTACTGACATTGTGCGCCTCTCCAGTGTAATCAATTTCAAGACAATGATCAAGCATTTACACACTGAGACCTATTGTGGCAGCCCGCTTCTCATGTAAAAGATTTTCACAAAGGTAATTGAGGTATTGAGTTGATCTAATAATTAATACTCGTGAAAATCCTGTGAATTTTTGTACTTTGTTATAACATTACTATATTTGATTCGCATACACAGATACACAAGGACACAGAGGAAAGAGGGAGAGAGCAAGCTGGCAACTGCCACCTGGAGGGGCACAACGCCTGCGTAAGTTAAGCGTTATCAAGCAAATCACCAATCAACGCGTAATATTAGTAAAGTAGATAATTATTATCCATCAACTTACTCTAATGGTTTGAATTTAAAAGCGTTTGAAAAGAAAAATTATACTTTTAACTTGTACTTTATCCACGGAACTCGAAATCGTAATGTATATAAGGTAATTCATTAGGTTTATGCCACTCCAAGTTCTCTGACCGTCACTAAGTTAGCCGAAGCTCAGGAGACCGGTTCAGCACGAGGCTACAAGCGACGCTTGAGTCGTGGTCAGGCTAAGCTGCAATGTCGTCTGAAAAAAAACCCCTCGCTCTGTGCCGCCTCCCGTAGAGGCAAGTGTCGGTAGGTGCAGGCAAAACGAAGAAACGCTTCCTCTGTGACTCTTGCTGTCAGATCTCAGCGTACTGCTCCCAGCTCTCACGAGAACGCACGTTCCGACACCTGTGCAATACAGCGCTGATTTCCGCTACAGCTCGAAATATTTCCGGTCCTTCCCACAATCTCACGGTTCCGTTCGGGGGCATGGCACCCGACGCGGAAATGGTGCTCATTAAACCCACGTGCCCTATCGCTATATACCCTAAGGCACGTCCGAATCCTCCTCTTTCTTCGCGACGAGGACGTAAGGCCCGTGACGTACTTCCGCTCAAACTTGCGTTACACTCGCGCCAAGCTCGCACAAACCGACTCACGCTGGTTGCGACAAAAAGGAGAAAAACATTTCGTTCTCGAGCGGTGAGCGCGTGCATGGGACAATTTCCCCGGCACCACGAGTCTGTCCGTACGGCTGAGAGAGGGAGGATCACCGAGACACAAACAAGCCCGGAACGATAAAAGAGGCGCCTCGAGCCACGTGGGGAAGGCACACCAGCAGCAAGTAGCGGCAGGCGGCAGCCACGCAGGAAGAGGTCTCCGTCAGAGGAAATCGTGCTCCCGGAGTGCGCAGCGTACATTTGCAACGTACGGACAGGCGACAGCGCATCGGCGAGGGATATCCTTGGGCGACCTTGGCAGAAAGGCACCCTACCGAGAGCGAGGGGCTCACCGGTCTTGACCGGTCGGTCGCGTGTGCCATCCATACGGAGAGCGGGCGGCAGCGGCCCATGCCAGAGGCTGCAGGTCGCGCACCACGCCGAAACCAGGACTGCTCGCGCGCGCCGCCTAAGAAGATGCCGCGAAGTTCGGATGTGGACCGCTCAGCCGGATCCACGTCCAGCGCAACCAGGTGACGACTGCAGGCTGTGTTGTGGATAAACTAAAGGGCGCCCCAGTGACGAGTGGAGTTTTCAACTAGGGCGGCAGAAAGGGTTCGCTATGACCAGAGCTACATTACTGGCCGTGTTCGCTTTGTGGGGACTCGTAGCGTGTGGACATTGTGCGTTGGGATACGTGTGGAACCAATCGGAGAATGAGCCAACCTACACACACGGTAAGATATTAGAGGCCCAACAAGACATCGTAAATGAGAATGAGCCCATATATGCAGAATTTAGATGATCTGCAAATACTGATGGCCTTCCCATATTACGGGTCGTTCTTTTATCGAGCTTAGTGGCAACTTTAAAATGCTTATAGGCATTTTGACCATTTGATCGTCACAAAATTAAATTGTGTTATTGCCCATGGTTTTCATAGCAGGATCAGTGACCATGTTTTTGCCGTTCCCTAAATCCACCACCATTTTTAAGGTAAATCAAAGTCAGAAGACAAAGGCACCCTCACCAACAAGCATAGAAAAACTAGTTACCTCAATTTTGTAACGTTCTGGTTTGAAGCAGATAGTCATACGCAATCGCGGTTGTGCACTTGCTCGTGAGTTGGTTGGTTGTAACTTTATTGCATTGTAGCCCAGGGGTTTATACTGCAGAAAGTTTGCTTAAATAATCGAACAAAACGAGGGCTTCCTGTAATAGCATAACACATAGTAAGAGCATGACCGAGTGTATTGAACTTATTTCGTTTCGACCATTTTGGCGTCCAACGCAACACAATGCAATGTAATCGGCTACAGCACTCGCGACAGCTTTCGTGCAGGCAAGAAGTCAGCGTCTATTTTTCCGTACTTTACTACGAAGTACGCACATATTGGTAATGTATATAATTGTATATTGCAACCGGCATGTCGATAGAGTTTTTGTTATCAGTAACATCTGACAAATACCTAAATACATGCATTTTGCAATATGGTGTCATGACAGCGACGCCAGCCGACAGGTTTCGAGCCGAATGTAGGCTAAGGCAAACGTCAGTGTTTTGGCTTTGATTATTGTCGCTGTTTCGAAGGGCACGCCATGAGCGTGCACCGAACCTACAAGGTGGAATCAATTTTAAGCTCGTGCGTTCCCCATCACGGTATAATATGAAGGACGGGCTTATGTTCTCATCTGTCGCGTCTTATTTCTCCACGCACTCCACCTCTCCCCTGTCGACTCCTTCAAGAAGGCTTCGGGCGAAGTGGCAGAACGCAAGACGACCCGGAGCATTTGGAGCACCACGTCGAGATTGTTTCCAGCTGGCCTAAAGAAGGTTCGGAAGGTGCGTGCCAAATTACTCAACTATGCCTTCACTTAGGCTGCGACGCGTGGCCTAGATAAAAGTAGTTGGACGTGCAATCCACGATGTCTTTGAAGGGAAGGCGCGACAGGCGACAGCCCCTGTCACGGACGGTAAGTGGTCGTTCCCTCGCAAAACAAAGTTGTAACAACTGCATTCCTGAAGGCTTTTGCCGGTTCAGTTCAGGAGGGGCAAATGTCAGCGCGACGCCTCTTTTGTTTACGCACTGCGTACTGCGCGACGCGGCCACATCAACCAGAAAAGCTGGACGCGACTACTGACAGCTGATAAGGAGGAGTGACCTGGAGACTTTGGGGCGCCAGTCTAATGGACGGGTGGCCCTACATTTTTCAATGGCAAAAGAAGAAAGAAATGTTCTCGGTGGCCGACACTTTCAAGTGTGCACTGCTGTGTTCACTTAATCGAATGAAACCTCTTCAAGCATTCCTATGTATTACCTTACACCGCCACGTCCTCACACTTTCCTACAACTAAAATATCTGAGCGATGTACTGCATTTTCACCAAGCTACGTAGCTCTGCGTTTTGCTGATGTACACGCGACAACTAACTCTGCCACGTTCCTGTCGGCCTGTGCAGCTACGAAGTCTTGACCCTGCTGAAGTTAATTACAGGTGTTATAATTTTATATTTAGTATTCATCACAAGAGATTACCCAGCTTTCCACCCACAGGAGTTCTGTAGCGTTCTTTCTTCATCGAAATGTGGCCGCGGGAACCTGGACTGAACCCGCCCCTTATAGCTCAGCACCACAACGCCAATGAGCTCACTGGGAGGCACTGCTTTAGAACTAATGTCGTTGGATACTTTGGGGTCGTCATTACGTATCAAGCCTGAATGCACTTATGAATGGGAACACAGTTACTTGCAACACACCCAGAAGGCCTGCGAGATTCATTGATAATTATATCGGATCTGCGTTAATGCAACGGTATATGATTCTCGTACCTAAATACCATAGACTTTCAGTGGTGCCATCGTTCTCTTCTCTTTACTCGTTATCTTCACTCAATGCTTTCAATATCAGCGATATTTTTTCCAAGCTTAAGCAGGAAAGCACTTACCAAGCCAAGCACACTAAAGACAACCCGCGAGACGTCAGGAATCAAAGAGTGGTTCCTAAATTTTATGATGAGTTGGCGTGTAACAAAGTATATAGGTAGACAGCAAAGAGCGTAAGTCATGAAATGTTTTTAGGAATTGAAAACTGAGGTCTGTTTCAGCTCTAGGTCATGCTCTTTTGGGTTTTGTGGGCCACTCACTATTAAGCGTTCAGATATTTCATTCATTAAAACAGAAGTAAAGAGTTAATATTCTACTCCTCATTCGTATAGATCGGAGTTCAACGTCTGTGGATGACCCGGAGTCGGCAAGTTACGTGCGGCCTCCAAGCCGCCACAATACTGTCAACAGCCGCCGGCAGGGTCCAATCACAGAAAGTCACATCGTAGCAAAGTTCGTCGACAAGCTGCAGCGTTCTCTAGAGCGTTCAACGCAGTTCACAAGCCGTGCCGACTACCATGCCTGCCTGATGCCCAACGGAAGCAAGGGATGTTGCACTCCCGTCAGGTTGTGCGTGTTGCCCGTGTTCCTGGACAGTCTGGACGTGTTCCTTAAGTACACGTGTGCTATAGACAATGACCACATTGGTGTGTGCTGTCCCACAGAGTTCGTTCCGAACACGAACATACCTCGGCGACCCGACGGCACCTTCGTCATTGCCACCGTCCTCAGTCCCAGTCCTCCGCGACCTACGAAGAACACGACAGTCCACGTCACCCCGACGCCTGGTCCCTGGCCTCCCGTGGTGCGCGACGAACCACGGTATCCCCTGGAATCAGGTCACGGCGGTGGCGACCATGTGAGTTTCGTGACAAGTCACTAAAAGTAATTGTAGTGCAGAATCACCAGTTCCGGTTGAAATTGATTTCTTCCTCAGTGTCACGGTTTGTAAATAGCCTTTGCAGAACACTAGCCCGGAAGAACTCTCTCCCTAGTGATTCCACTCTTTTCCTTTGCACCTCTTTTCGCTCCTTTATTTGTTCCTCAAATGCAGGGTAACAAACCGAATGTGCTTCTGCTTAATCTTCCTACCTGTTCTTCCTTCTTTCTCTCGCTCTCTATATGGCTCCCTCTCTTGATTTATGACCCCCATCTGTGACTGAAACATGCTTAGTTTTGTTCACTGCTAAGGCCGATTGTTCCGATATAGAGGTTTTGCAGCCACGATGCAGATATCTATTCAGGACACAAAGTTACTGTTGAACGACGGGTGACATATTTAACTTATGGAGAGTATATCATTTTACGTTACCCAAACGTCATTTGCCTTGTTTACGAAGAGAAATAATTTCACGCAAAGATGATATATGTACCTTCCGCAGTCGTGCATTGTTTGCGTTTTCTGAGCTTTCCTTGACAGGACAAAACTGAACATCTATTCTAAAAGTATTCATTTAAGCACGCAGTGCATATATCTACCTGCTTGATTTACAAGGTATATAAGCAACTAAATCCTAACAATGCTCATCAAACAGCAGTTTGTCACGCTTGCAGAAACTTTACCATCACAAAAATAGATGCCGCCACGCAATCAGCACTCAATGAGAATGTAGCATTCAGACGCCCTCTTTTTACACTGAATATAGTCCACCATAAACCACCCACAGGTGCAGAATATGCTTTTTAAAAACAACTAATCTGTTTTTTTTTATGAAGCGAACATTCAATAGCGTGTACAGGCGTAGCTGAAGAGAAAAAGGGGTCAACTTATTCTTTTTTGCTAGGTGTCACGACATATTGTGTTGTGTTTGTGAAATTGTCGATTACTGCTTCAGCCAGACAACGTTTGAAATTCACCACAGACTCTTCGAGCAAATACAGCTGCTCTTACGAACGTAGTGAGCATCGGATTAAATACCTTAATTATGAATCTACCACAAGATGTACAACAGAAAAAAGCTTTCATCTATTTTTTTTCTTTCTTTCTCTCTCTTGGAGAAACGAGACTTTCATAGCCTACAGGTTTCGAAATAGAACTAATTCTAGCAGTGCGAGGACAGCCTCAGCGGCATATATAGATGCGATGGTCTCTTTGCATTACACTTGTAAACAGAACAGTCTAATTATAGACTAGCGTATGTATATTAGAATAAAATAAGTCATCGTTCGCAAGTTTTATCGTAGGTTCCTTCCCAGGTTTGACCATGTCTTTAAGTTCCATAATAATTCCGCAGGAGCACTTGATAGAGACTTCATTTGTACGCCCGAGCATCAGTATATATTGTTTGCTGCCTAAACATTTCGTGTTTTTTTTTTCGGCTTTTCATAGTGTGAGCCAACCTTACAGTGGCCAATGTTTTATTTATTACATCAGTAAACGAAAAAGAAGATATGTAAATCCCTTTAGACGGTCCGCAAGTGCATTCTGCGCATTAACTGCCACGAGAGGGTAACCCTATAGTGTGCTTTATGTCGAGCAAGATCTTTATGAGTTAACGAAGAAATTATCAAAAAGCTAAAACTATAACTGCGATAATGCATATCGTTTAACACTAGAGCCGAAATATAGGAACTGCTTGCGCAGAACAATCCAGCGTGTTCGAGTAGCAGAATGAGCTTGCGAACATACGTGTGCGCTCGTGTTTTTTCCGGCGCGCGCACACAAATCCTCTTGTTCTTCCGACGTTATAATACAGTTGCGTCAAACAATTTTCTTGCGGCGAAAGAGGCACGTGCCACCAATACGTGACAACGAGGGCAGACCCAGCAGCAATCCCGGTACCAAGCCGAGCGGCTATCCCAGTTCAAAGCCAGGCGAGTACCCGGACAGCAAGCCGAGCGACTACCCAGCCAGTCGGCCGGGTGACTATCCCGGCACCAAGCCAAGTGGGTATCCGGGTAACAGACCCAGTGACTCTTCGGGCAGTAGACCGGGTGTCTACCCGAGCAACAGGCCGAGTGATTCTTCAGCCAGCAACCCGAGTGGCTACCCGAGCAACAGGCCGAGTGATTCTTCGGGCAACAAACCGAGTGGTCATCCAAACAACAGGCCGAGTGACTCTTCGGGCAACAGGTCGAGCCACCACCCCAGCAACAGACCGCAAGACGGCACCAACACTAATCGAGCTACAAGCCGGCCTGCTGGCAGGCCGGACCCTGACGCTCACTCGCACATGAAGAGAAACCCGTCAAAGCCCATGCCACCGGAACTGGAGGAACTTAAACAGAGTAAGTAAATCGTCGAATAAGGAGCCGTTTCACATACCAGAGACCAGGGTTCTCACCATAGTGGGCAGTGGTACAAATGCAGCCACCGCTACGCTTCGCCACCTAACGCTTTGTTTCACCGGCCACTGGTCCAATCTGACCACTTTCACTTGGGCGCCTGAGGAACGAATAAATTGCAATTGTGTGCGCGTCTTGCCAACTCCAGTGGCAGCGCAATAACATAGACGCCCTTCCACCTAGAAATTAAGCGTGGCTGCATGTAGAAAACGGAAAGTTTGAAAACATGAAATCATCAACCTAATACCTTTCCAACTCTCTTCCCTCTCCCCCTCCCTCCCGCCTAAGTGGAACCTGCCTCATACTCAATCCGGCAGTCGATAGTCTCGTACCCGTGTAAACGTCCAGTGTCCGAAAACTCCAACCAGCGGAAATAACAAGGCCGCATTGTGGAAAACACAAACACCAAATAAACCGCGTTGAATGTCAACAGAGATAACAAACCGCGCACCCCGAAGGGTGCCATGCCACCTGCACCACGCCATAGAGGGGACGCGATAAGCTTGCAATTGAGGAATAAAACGCTGATTAACTGAAACATCAGCATGCCTACTATTGTGTGCAGTGATGTCGGTTAATTGCTTATTCCTTCTGTTTCTCAAACGAGGTGTTCTTACCTAATGTGCATAGCTTTCAGAAATTGCCATACTTGTTGAGAAGCTCGCATGTACAGCTTATAGGAGGCTGATATGGTACGTCTGCATGCATCTGTTATGTAATGGGCGTCGCACGTCTTAGGAATGCATTATGCTCTTACAATAGCAGTCTGAAGCTGTGATTGTGTGGAAAGTACAGGGTCGCCTTCATAATTGTTCCTCGGATAAGTATAACAAGACCATTATTGTAGCTTTTGTGTGTTCTTGGAAATGCTTTTAATCGAGCGCGTTTCTTACACTAGATTTAGCACTTTGCGTGTTTTTTTTACTAGTCTATGATATAGATGGAATACAGTGAAGGCTCTCTCGTTCGTGTTGACTGAGGTGCTGTGGTACGCAAATCATAATAACGAAAAAAAAATTAAAGAGAAGTGCATGTTAAATGGCTGTCTTCTGCAATTGTCGGCTTGTTTGGTAATTTAAATAAATTCTGGAGTTTCACGTACCAAACCCACAACATCATTACGAGGCACGCCGTATAGAGACAAATACCTGGTTTCCCTATCGTACCTTGCTTCAGTATGTGTCCTTCAGGGAAAATTCCTACGTGGCTTCAATTGCGTGTCTGTTCTTTGGGATTTCTTCAGCATGAATGTCCTTTGAACAAAATTTTGTTTTAAAGTTCAAACGCTAAACAAATACTCGTTGTACATACACTAAACAAATGGTAAGCCACAAAATAAAAAAATCATGGCATTTCCAGGGAGTGAATGATGATGAGTGAGCGAAGCAACCGTCCGTCCATTCATTCGTGTGTCCATCCATCCGTGCATGCGTCCATGTGTCTGATCGCGCTCGAGAATGCGGAGGGCGTGCGGGTAACACCGATGAGACGCGAGCCAAAGAAGCGTCTTCAACACGCCCACCGCTCTGCTTCGTCCATGCCCCACTAACGATCCGCCATGTACGGCGACTATCCAGGAGACTGACAGAGGCACTCGCTCTCCGCGCACTCAGGCAAAGCGCGCGCAGCAGCCAATCAAAGAGCAGCGGAACATCGGGCAGTTGCTAGAGTTACTGTATAAGCTACCTTCAGGTAGCAGAGTTGTGCCAAGGTACGCCATATTGGGTTCAAATGTCTTGCGGGAAAGCCACTCATCACCCAAGTAGGAGTAGCGCTCGCGCTTCAGGGTACTAGCATTTTTTTTTTTCGATTTTTTATGAAGGTATGAGCAAAACTCGGTTGCTCCGGTCACGCCTAGAAGCTTTGACTTTATGTCTACGTTCTTGGTATGTAATAGCAAATTGGATTGCGTCTTCTTCAGTGAGATATATATTTAAAATTAGTCACGCATCAGCTATGTCTCCTTTTCCGCTGTTTTTCCCGGTTAGAGATATGAAATTATTTTTGCAGTTTTGATCGCGATCGAGCCAGTTAGGAATAAAATGTATCGTCCCGATGGGCTCATTCGTGAACGGTGTGAGGAAGCCAGCTATGGTTTTATAGTCTTCAACTGAATCGAGCTGAATAGCCATTGAGAGTGGCCGTTCGACGCCCATGTTACGCAGGCCTCACGTATCATGCTTGTATTACAATCGCGGCTCACGACAGCTGATGTGAATCGCAGTTAAACAGCCCTGTCGCGGCCAACATTCCTCTCGCTTAAGGTTTAAAAAGGTGCAATAAATTGACGCGCTAGCTGCGACACCTTGCCAATACGAATATTTCTAGTTTAACTACTCCCTTTATTTTTATCGCTTTACCCGTCAGACCACTTAGAACGCTGACCAACTCTGCATGTATTACGTATTCACTGCATCTGTGGGCAAAACAAACAGAGCAAGTTTTGCACTGCCGTGGAGAGATAAAAAGAAGCCGAGCGTTGATTACTTCCTTACTTAACACTAATATTTCAATAGCAACACCCACTGCACCCGTATAATTGCATGGGCTCTACGTAGTAAAATTCAACACAGGATACATTTGCTACCACATTTCTCGCGACCAGCAGGCAACATGGCTTCAGTACCGAAAAAGCCTGGTAAGAATAACAAAAAAAAAACCATGTCAACCATGCTTGGTCTGCCCAGAATCTGCGAAGCATCGGCGTCATGTGCGTAGCGTTGGCTTCTCCGCTTTGCAAATGAACCACCCATGATCACGTGATGGCACTCGGCGAATAGGGGCTCTGAACTCCTGCAGGCGGAGTGAGCGGCGCCCGTAAGACAGTGGCGCAACTCTGCTACCTGAAGGGGGCATATACAGTAATTCTAGGAGTAGTGGCAGTATAACGTCGTCTAGGAAATGAGACGAGAAAAGGTCCTCCATTTGTTTTGCCTTCTTTTTTCTTTCTCGTCTCCTATCGATTACGCATGACAAAGTTAAACGAAGAGGAGCTTTGCCCCTATAAGAGCGATGAGGCAATCGGGTAAAAATAAATGCATTGCTTGCCACATTGACAGGCATTTCTACTTTTTTTTTCTTATTCTCGCTCAGAAATTAAACACGTAAGATTTCTAACAAGTCTTATACCTGTGCCACGCTGGCGTTTTGAAGGCCATTCAAAAGATAGTTAAGCATCGTGGGACGTTTCGAAGGCACCTGAGTCAAAAGACTGTCGAGTCAACGAAGGGCCCGAAAACTCCATCAAAATTTCGATGGCCATTGAGCGACAAACGCGGAAACAGCGCCAACGTGTCCCTCGTTCATACTGAGCTCGTACTCAAGATTAGGGAAAGGAATCTAACCAGTATTTTTTGAGATCAGTATATGTAAGCTGTGAAATATTTAATATGGTGGTTTAATTACTTTAAAGGTGCGACCTGCACATGTTCTTGACAACAGCAACGCGCTTGTTCTCATTGTGCCATGTCGCCGTGCATCACTTGCCACAGTTTCACTGCACAAAACTAAAAGCAAAATATGAAGTAATAAACACTAATAAAGAATGTATTGAAAAAGTTTGAACATCAACAAATCTATTTGAGTTTTTAGGTGTATGGGTGACATGAGTACGAAAATGAAGATCTGCAGCGCCACACAATTCTGCGACGAACACCTGAACCACATAAGGGCCGCTCAGAACTACAGTGTGGCAGTGCGACAGCTCCATCGAGTCGAGAGAGTTGCGGTGTTTCGATAGCCATCGAGTGGATGTCCTTTTAAAAGGGACCATGTCACAGATGTATTAATGCTCATGGAAACCACACTCACGGAATCCACTTGTGGCTTTACGACTGACACAGCATAGTGAGGCACATGATAGTTTTTTTAATACACACGCATAACGAGGAAGTCGTAATGTGGTGCTGCTGGTATAGTATGAGCAAGTTAGCGTATCAGTAGGCGTACTTTTATGCCGAAGCTTGGCACCAGGTTGTCATGTCGTGCCCGTGTCAAATTTACAATCGCATTCTTCACTCTCTCGATATTATAGAAACTTTCCGACTTCATACCTATGCTACATTAATTCTACTGACCGGAAACCTGCTATGAGCGCATGCAAAAGGCTCGCAATTTATGGAACTTAATTTGCTCGCGAATTCATTTCTCCTAACGTGAGTCTGGGTGATCATTTCCTGATTTTGCACTTAAATGCATGTCTTATTCTTTTTAGTACAAAGTCTTTAATCCCGTTACAAGTATGTTGTACCATCTCAAAAGAAATTGGCCAATCAAACATGGTCTCTCTTGATTTCTTTCGTTAATAACGCGCAGAGCTTTTTTCTGTGTCCTGCCTTGATTACTCACGTGCTAGCAGCACAGCGCTTATGTTGCTACAAGCAACAACGATGGTCATGCATAGAACAATTGAACGCTACAATGAACCACAGCGACGAAGTGTTCGGTCGTGAAACGACAAGAGACTTCGATAAATGATAGAATTTCCGGATCAGAATCGGTGTGCTACCGACAATCACTTAAGTCAGAGAACACCAGCAATTTGGAAACGGTGCATACCAATACGCGTGTCCAATGCATCTTTGAGGGCCGCATTTCTATTAGAGTCGCTTTCTGGTTGTGCCCCCGCGATCTCCGACGATAGCGCAGCTCTGGCCGACTGGCTCGCCCATTTTCTGACGCCGACAACAGCTCTCACTGAGTGGTGCCCCGTCCTCTGACTTTTGCGACTATGTCCATCTTTCCTATCTCCTCTTTTGTCGTTCGCTGCCGCTGAACCTCGCTCTCTCCTTCTTCTCTATATAGTTATCTTTTAATATCGACCATCTCATATGCCATTGCCCTCGATTTGCCTCTGAAAGACAGAAGCTTTCGGACGCATCGCGACAATTGGACGATCGGCCACTCTCTGTGCAGATGCTGCAGGAACACCGTTATCGCCTTTCGTCAGCTCAAAAAGCAGTCAAAGCTGTCTTGTGCTTTTTGAGGACTACAGGCCTATGTGACCACCTTTAACTTTTGTGTAGTGCCTCCGCTGCATACGCGCCAGCCGATTGACTGACAATCCTCTTTTTTTTTCTCTCTTTCTCTTATCTTGCCTCTCTCTCTCTCATTTTTATGCCCCCTTCCTATTCCCCCAGCGTAGGGTAGCAAACCGGGCATGTGCCTGGTTAACCTCCCTGCCTTCCCTCTTGTTGTTTATCCCCCCTATCCTTTTAATCCCTCCTTTACCCCCACCCCTCCTGAGCTACTGTTGAGGTGCCCTCCCCCTGAGGGACAGTTACGGGGCTCACTTTTCTCTTCTTATCATTTGAAACAACTCACACTCACAGGCATTTCTATACCCGCGCATTCCTTTGCACTGGACGTCACCGGGTTTAATGCGTACAATGCCGCCGCCGCCACCGCCACCGAGACCTTTAACTCGTTACAAGATTGCGACCAAATTTATAAACTGCAATAAAGTGCTGTTTTGCCGCGTCACGCCAAGCACAGATACACAATGCGCAGCATGAAGAAAAACGTGTGGTGGAAGGGGTTTACCCCGGATGAGTCGAGGGATAAAAAACCCGTAGGAATAATAGTCGTATAAGCGTTCTTTGAACGAATTATAATGGTCCGGAAGCGTAAGGGTAGGAAGAATGAAAATAAAAAGAAAATGCTTACAACGTCTAGGGGCATGCAGGCGGACGTAAATAATGTGTGCCTATTCTGCTGTAAAACACATTAAGCGCATTTGTGGCCACGTTAGCCCATTTTTCTATTTCGAACCAATCACTTAACTTTTGCGCCGTGTCTATTGTATTACTCAAACTACGGTTTAAACAGCACGCAGGGACTATTAATGACGTTTACGTTAATGCGTGATTTCTCTTGCCTAATAAGCGGAGTAAACTTTATTGTATTGTCAAAATGTACTCACGGATATTTTTCAGCTTGCGGAATCCCCGTGCTTCACAAGAGAATCATTGGTGGGAATGAAGCTAATCCCAACAAATGGGCGTGGATGGTAAGTGCTGCAGAACTTTTTTTTTCCTTGTTGAAGCTAACACAACTCAAGGATGAGCGTCATTCCTTAAAATATTTGAAATCGGTGTTGTTTCCGAACTTAATTTCCCTACATTAGTATGAATAATCAGTCATGAGCGAAACATAGTTGGAATACATTATCGGGAACATTTCGGTGCGCAACAATATACGAAATGTTTCCAATAATGTCTTCAAACCGACTCGGTCAGCTCTCCGTACACGATCACAATATAGTTGGAAGAATTGATTTGAGTTGTCTTAACAGGCAAAGAGTTGATTTGATTGAAATATTTATACATCTAATGTAACTGTCGCTGTAATGAGGCCCGCGGAACAGCTTTATGCTCTCCCAAAGTAGAGTACTAAGTACTCTAAATTGTTAAACGATTTTCTTAAACACGTAAGTGGACTCATAAACCAGTTTCGTGGCTCCCCATATTTAGGCAAGTGAAAAATTCTTGGTTGTGTATCGGTCACTCTATAATACTTTAATGATTGATTGTATACGTTGTATGTTCGTTGATTCATGAGCTCCATTGTTTGGAAGGAACAGATATGCTGTAAGAAAGGTTGTAGAGAAATGGTGGTAATTATTTGTTAACTGAAGCTATCTAACACACCTCAAAGCACCACATTAGAGTAGTTGTGCGACGAACCGTGAAAGATTACGGCTGTTTAATTAGAAACCTTCGGTGTAGCCGTCATCAAAGCCACAGTATGGTCTCAACAGCATAACGGCGCCGCCATTGGGTCACTGAAGCGGTAACGCGGACTCTCTATTTGCCAGGATATCTATGAATTAAAAAAAAATTCCTCAGACTTTTTAGAGCACTAGTCCTGGGTGGCGCTTTTTACTGACTGCCCCTGAAAGTTGTTTTATTTTACAATACACATTTGTGCAGGCTGCCCTCCTGAGAAGCGACACCGGCGAGCACTACTGCGGTGGAGCCCTCATCAGCAACCGATACGTCATAACGGCAGCTCACTGCACAGATGGGTAAGTTGCGTGCATGGAACGCAATAGTCAAATAATTGTTCTGAACATGTGGCACTGTACTACAAAGTCGAGGGCAAGAAGGTTTCGCACTTTGTTTACTAGTTTCAAGTATCGATCTCTCGCGTTACTAGCTTTGTGTCAATCACTTGTCTTACTCGCGGTCTGTATTATTTGATTGATAATGATTGATATATGGGGTTTAACCTCCCAAAACCACCATATGATTATGAGAGACGCCGTAGTGGAGGGCCCCGGAAATATCGACCATCTAAGGCTCGTTAACGTGCACCCAAATGTGAGCACACGGGCCTACAACATTTCTGCCTCCATCAGAAATGCAGCCGCCGCAGCCGGGATTTGATCCCGCGACCTGCGAGTCAGCAGCCGAGTACCTTAGCCACTAGACCACCGCGGCGGGGTGCAGTCTGTATTAACCCAGGCACAGTGTAAATGGACATTGGATCTTGGCGTAGGATATTTGAAACAATGAGAGGAGAAAAAAAAGTGTTTGCGATATGAAGAATCTTTTCATCTATATATAGCATTGACACGACTAATATCAAAGTTATATTTAAGCAGTACATGCGAGGTAGTAAACAACGAAACACTATTCTATGGGGAATAACAGATACATAACTGATACCAGATACATAACTCTTGCAACTGATGGGAAACCCTCAACTATACCTAAAAATAATTAAAGAATCCACAGTCATCGTTCATGTCGTATACTCATACTAAGTGACAAAACATCCTGTAACCAGACGGGAGCATAGAAGCCAAACTAAAACAAAAACCTTGTGTCTATATTCATTATTTAATGAAAATATGAAGCAAATATGTGGATAACGCAGAAACTTTCACTTGGACGCGAAAAGAAAAAAAATAATGCTCTGTCTGCTTGCGAACAGAGAAGGTTCACTTAGTGCATGACGGAAGCGCGCGTGTTGCATAATAATATAGAAGCTCGCGTACTATTGCCTTCCCTTCATGGCGATAGTTGAACACGCGGTAAGGGTCACGCATAAATAAGTTGACCTCCGATATAAGGGAGCGTTGAACTATTCCCAATGCGTGGTAGTGGTTCGATAAACGACGTATAATAAAGAAAATGTACATTTACGTAACTGGGAAAGCCGCTCGCTTCCTCAATTAGCGTTAATCGCACCATCCTTATCTATAACGCTGCCGCCACAGCTCTCGTTTATCATTCTAACCCGCGGCAAAGCTGTTCGGCGGGTAGAACTAATAGAACCTGCTATATGTAACACGGCGTTGGTTCGCGTTGCGTGCGCGGCATGAAAAGAAGACGCGCCGGGGTGCACCCCCAATCCGGATGTGCAGATGCAGCCTGACGTCACTTCGTGACGCCGGCCTTCAGTGCGGAAAAATACCGGTGAGAGAGGCTGCGCACTCAGTTATGCCGGGGTGTCCGAAACGGGCTTAGAGCTCATTTGTTTGCCTCTGGAAGCATGTAAACACGTTCCTCCGATCCTGACTGACCTTGGGACTAATCACGCACGCGGAAAGCGAACGAGAAAAAAGCGTCGCGAAAGAATGTAGACGCTAACAAAAAAAAAGAAGGCAGAAAGAAATAACGACATGCAGCCCAACACGTTGTTTCGAGACGCACATTAAGAATGTTATTCACCAGTCACACACTCAACGAAGCTCTTATACCTAATGTGCTGTTACTCACGGCTATCGTTCGCTCAAAAGGCGTCGCCTGACCACTTCAGGCGTCATTCCATGAGCAAGAGCAACTAAAGCACAGGATGCATTCTTGCAACTGTCGCTTTCACCTGGTCTTTGAGAATCGTGTGTTTACAAGACTGACTGCACAGATCAAATGTATACAGTAAGTGATACTGCATGTAGTGGGTGGCTTAGTTTTCGGAACCGTGAGTCAGGTGTGCAATGGGCAAAAACACGAGTTACATGGTGCAATCTAGTTAAGAATCGGAAACTCATTCTGCTTCAGCTTGTCCACCTTCCCGCTTTATATGCGCATGACGGCAGGGCAACTTCTCGTGAATTCCCAGGCCAGCAATGAATTCAAAGATGACGGAGCGTGCCCGACGAGTCAGCATCACACGACTACAACGACACATGTACAATTTTTTTTTTCCCTTCGATGAAGCGTTTGGAAAGGGGCTCTATATTTCGTCATCACTTCCATTGCCGCTCAAGTACGTATATTAGCCGCGAGGTAAAACACACACAATAGAGTGAAATACGACAGCAGGACGTATTTCTTCCACCTGTGCGTGTTTTATTCAGGGGCTAAATTAGGCAATTAACACTAAATAGTTTTGTGTCAGCTGCAAACGGGCTAAGCAGTCTTGATACACCTACTGGCGTTGCTTTGATTACGCAAGCGTTCAATTATGATTACGCGAAATGGGAAAGGCGGTCTTCTTCCCCCATATAAAAGTGCTAAGGATGAATATTACAATTCCTACGGTGAGTGCGTTCTTGTCGCCTCATTGTATTGCGTACTTTTATTTCCTTAAACACCCTGCCAAAAGTATTACTGAAGTAACGGACACATGATGTGGAGAGATAAACTTTTACCGCAGTTTAATGTAGATAAAAAGTTGTTACTTCAGTAAATTTCAATTAACGCATAATTGCAATGACGTAATGAGTAAGGCAGTTCCAGTTTTTATACTCGCAGATGCTTGGCAAAAGTACGAGGCTGAAGTTGTACGTCTTAAATAAAAGCAGAGCGCAAGAAAAAAAGACGGGTCAAAAGAGAGAAGAACAGCTCTTCCCTCTGTATTTCTTCTCGTGATTTTTGCTCTCTGCTTTTATTTCAGGCCAATGGACCAACTCATCTAGCAAAGCAATCTTTAGAATATTTTTGGCGTGCGTGAACGGAGTTGTGCCGCATGTATACATCGGACGAGCCTGTACGTTGAAAATGAGGCAGGGACAACGCATATATCTTAATAAGCGTCATATGGTAGAACAAGCTAAAAAAGAAGGGGTGACTAGTGAAGAAGACACGATATAAACTGTGAGATTTTTTTTTTTTACATTTAGGTATGATGCACTGGCTTCGTAAGAGCATGACCAATGAACATAGTTGATGGCGCAATTCGTAACTGCAACAGGAAGTTTGGCCCGATAAACTTGGCGCACATGCCGGATGTGTGATGAACATGGCAGACTAGTTTCGTTCTCCCTAGTGATTTAGAGGCTCTAAGCTATACATGGATTGGAGTGAATGAAATGGAGTGTTTCAAAATACTTATGCTTTGCTGTTTGTTGAGATGACAGCGATATTTTTGTTCATGGTTAGCTCCTTGGAGACCTCAGCCAAACCATTTAAAAGGTTCTATCAATCTTGTGAAGACGACGTTTATCTACAGGGAGTGCCACTGACAAGTAAAGGAACAGATTTCACTATTTCTGCAACTGCACTTTCGCGCTTTCGGGGCAGTTTGGCAGCGTATACTAATGCTGCTAACAACTTCCTTTTGCAGTTTCAAGGCTTCCAACATAACCATCCGGCTGGGTGCCCACAACATCCAAGAACCGTCTGAAAACGTGCGAGATATCGAGGTGTCCCGCATCCGGGAGCACCCTGGCTTCCAAAAGGACACGTTCATGAACGACATCTCTGTACTGAGGCTCAAGCGTCCCGTCACGTTCAACGAGTACATCCGGCCCGTCTGTCTACCCGAGCGTGGCGACGAAACTTACTTCGGGAAGACCGCCATCGCCACCGGCTGGGGCACGCAGACTTTCGGTAAGTCGTCGTACCGGACGAAAACGAGCATAGCGTGAGTTGTGCATATAAGGGCGAGAGCATGTGACAGTGTGATAACTTGATTGATTTGTGGGGTTCAACGTCCCAAAACTACCATGTGATTATAAGAGACGCCGTAGTAAAGGGCTCCGGAAATTTCGACCACCTGGGCTTATTTAACGTGCACCCAAATCTCAGCACACGGGGCTACAGCGTTTTGGCCTACATCGAAAGTGCAGCCGCCACAGCCGGGATGCGATCCAGTGACCTGCGGGTCAGCAGCCGAGTATATCAGCCACTAGACCAACGCGGCGGGGCGACGTGTGACAACTTATGGCACCCTTTCCTCGTCACAATCACTCGTAATTTCACAAGGCATTACAGGCTTTAAAACTTGTAGCTGGGCGCGTTGATATGTATCCATGTTCAAAACTTTTTTTTAGCACCCACAGAGGACAAGGACAAGATAGATGAAAGTCACGCGAGCGCTAGAGAGACAGAGACAACCAGCGCTCGTGTGCCTCTAACTTTCTTGTCCTCTCCTTGTGCGCGCACGGAAAAAAAAAAGTAATAATATGCGTTAAAGGCTCTCATATGATTTCTCAGTACGCTGAGCTTGAGCGGATGCCGTTGAATAGCGGTGCAGTCCCGTATGCATGATCAAATTCACCGTTAATTTTCTTCGTTTCTTCCTTCCGTCCCCTCTCTTAATATTCCATTCATCTATCCCAATCTCTCAGCGTAGGGTATCCAACCAAATCACTTTGTGGTTAGACTTCCCGCTTTTTTATACGATTCCTTCATTCCGTCCTCATGTAAAACTGGAATTGAAATTCGCGGACGGGACAAAAACAAAGTAGGATTGCGCTACAGCTACTAAACCACCGCCGTGAGGCATAGGGGTGACAGCGAAAATGGTGGTATGCGCCGTAATCTCGGAGCCCATGTAGTGTTTCCAAACAGCATTGTAGATGGCGCGACTGCACCATGCCGGCGACCGTCATAGTTGTCGCCAAGGGACGCGTTCTAGGCTTTAGCGCATCAATATTCGCATGAAGTCTTTACAATATTTATTTCTGGTTGCGTTGGAAGCAAAGAGAGAGAGACAGAGCCAAAGTGCGCCCATTATGGAGAAGTGTTCTGGACTGGCAGACTCGAGTCTTTTAAACCTCACTATCGTGTTCCATTACAAGCAAATATTATTTGGCTTTTTGGCAGACTTTATTTTTAGTCAGTTATTTAGTTTGCTTCTGCTATTTTGTTTCAATGTAATGATAATATGAAGCATCCTGTGGTAAAGGATTCAATTATTTTATAGACCACGTTCCTGCAAGGTTATATTTTTAACAAATGTACTTATTCACCCAATCAGTTCATTCCTCGAGCTAGTCAGAGCTTGGCTCATACATATTGCAATTACACCTGGCACACAATGTGACAGGTATGCAATCTCCAATGTAAAGGCATTTAACGACCAGGTGACTCGCATATTGCGCCGCCAAAGGGTGAATGCGACATGGAAGGACTCCGTGTAAGTATCGCGATGGATGCTGCCGCCATGCTTACTACCTTCTTAGACGACTTTTTCCATCTTAATTTTTTTTCAAGCCATATACCGCAACTGAAAAAAAAAGCGAAATCATACTTGCGAACAATAACTTAGGCACCATCGGAAAAACTCTACAGGTTGCTTTCTGTGCAAATTCTGTGCAATTGAGAAAGTGTTGCTGTGAATTGATTCCAGGAGTGGCAAAAAATGCGACGATTTTAGCTTTTGGTATAGCGGTGATTTTGTGAAATTCCGAGCAAATGTTCCACCCGCACAAACGCCCTGTCCAATTTCACCACAAATTTCAAATGAACATACTTTTCTATGAAGGACTCTCCTCCTTTCTTCCTTCCCACTTATGCACAGCGTCATTGGGTTCGCATTAAATCGCGTAAAACTTCAAACTGCGAAACTAGACGTTTCTCAAATCTAATATGGTTGCTTCTAGCCGGTACATTCTAGGCACTATAGTGACGCTAGGCTATCGCGAATCCAAGTAGTGCTAGGTTGTAACCTCGCCGTTACGTTACACCTCTGCCACAGAAACGCATTAAGCACTATAGTGGGTATACATCGCAAGAACACAGTGGTATACAAATTGAAGAAAGACTTGAACCGCAGACGAATTACCTATGCGACTTGGCCTCCAAATTATACAGGCACTAGAAACCCGAACCACCACTTATCTATGCCACTTGACCCCCAAAGAATATAGGCATTCGAAACTCGAACCTTCCATGAGTGTAGCTCATTGACCTCACCTTACAGACGTTTACGATCTGGAACCTTCGACATTCGAAGCGTACAGGTCATAGAACCGCCGGCCTTCCAAGCATATAGATATAGAACCCTCTACATCCTTATAAGAATGCAAAATATCGACACAAATGTGAGGTGGTTAAGTGACAGTTGATTACTGATCAAGCGATGATTAGTGTTGATCCAACCATAATAAAGAGATGATTGGCAGCACATGACCGAGATTAGCAAGTGCCACAATGCTTGCTCACACACTGATGAATTTCCAGCAGCAAGTTGGCACCGTTATTGCAAATAAGCATATAGCCGTAAGCTACGTAATTAAGCCACAAACTAAGTTGGAGCTTATCTGTTACTGGGATTTGATGTAGGAGACAGGATCTGCGAAGGTAGTTGTCCTCACATCGATGAGCCCAGGTTAACACAAGACCAATGGAATAAGCGTGCGCATGTCCCGACTTCAGTCCCCTGGAAATATCCAGGGGATATGGTCCCGGCTACTCTCGGTTTGCCGCTGCCGTAATTCATCGATTAGGGCATCAGATGGGAATGGACCACTCATCAAGGCGTTCAGCTTGCAATTTCTTTGTATCGTACATGCTTCGGAGATCGGATATTTATCTGAGAAGCGACCGAGGATGGCACAGATGAGTTCGTGGCGTCTTCGTTTATTTAATATAGAAGAACTCATGGTGAATTCCTTCGATAGGATAAGTCTGTTTTGTTTTTTTACTCCAGCCCGGTTTCTCATTTCCTTCCCCGTATTTTCCTTTCCATTCTCCTGATTATCTACTCTAATGTCTCTTCTCTGACCTCGTTTCTATATTATATAGGCGGCTCTGTTAACCTCACATGAATGTCCTATCTTACATATAATATATTAGGTTTTATTGACAATGCACTTTTTTGCCTGCAGAGAGAGAGAGAAAGAACAGAAATGACAGAGAAGGAAATGCAGGGAGGTTACCCCATCAAGGATAACGGGTTTACTTCCCTACACATGGTAACAAGGAGGGGAGTTTGAAAAATGGGCATTATGAATAGATGGATGGATGCTACGAACATCCCCTATATAACGGGATGGGGAGAGGTGTCACCAGGCTCGACCGAAATTACCCTTTTTTTAAACATGGCCTAATGTCTCAATTTTATACATTGTATATAACTTTCTTACCATAAAAAAATGCAGAGTCATAGCCCAGTTATCTGTCCTTCACGCCAGAATGCCCTTAATTTCTGATCACTTATTTTTTTTTTCATTTTGCTGCAGTTTACGAACACACCGAAGCTATAAATAAACTGGATGATCGGGATTTGTCGACACAAAGAATTCTGGGTCATTGGCCAAGTCCACCATCAGCCCATAAGGCCGTGAAAGCTTTATTACGTTTTTTTGCGGACAACTGATCTTACAGAGACAAATTTTAGATGCCTTATTCTCTTTATTTTGCTTTTCCTCTATGGTTGTCTTTTCTCGCTCTCTCTCACTTTGTAACAACTTTTTTCTGACATCTTTTAATCCTCTTACCTCCTTCCCCAGAACAGGGTATACCCAGCCCGTCTAAGAACTGGCTAACCTCCTTCTCGTTTCGCTTATTTCTTTCTTCCTCCTCCTATAAGAGCCACGGCCTTTCGAAAAGAGAATAAAGCCAAGAATGTTCGAAGTATAATTTTCACTGATCGCAGGTGGACCTTACAGCGAGGTTCTACGTGAAGTGAAGCTCGTCGTATGGAACAACACCGAATGCGACAACCGGTTCGTACAACCAATCACCGAGGTGTTTCTCTGCGCCGGACCGAAGAGAAGGGAAGGTGACGCCTGTCAGGTGAGGATAAAACTAACCAAAGTAAAACGGAAAAGTTAAGTTTCCGTAAGTGCCTTGATAATCTTGAGTGCATGCGGTCGTTTACTCAATTTTGTATGTATTCCGCATCTGTCATTCATTTCAATACTTTGCGCTCATGAATGCAGACGCAGTTCTAAATATACGACGAACAAACGTATGATGATAGAGTTCGGGGATACACCTTATACGTACAATCGTTATTGAAAGAGCGTGGGCCGATCCCCCCCACAGCATAACATTGCTTTAGGACTTTAAAAGGCTGCAGCATTGTGGCATAATTTCGCGAAGAAATACTGTGAATGCAATCGAAGTACGAAGCATATATGTATATATATATATATATATATATATATATATATATATATATATATATATATATATGGTTTCCTCATTTTATTTAGGCGCTGTACGAATTGCTACATTTAATGCCTGCAAGACGCTGGTCTCCTTACTTTTTTTATTTTTTTTCTCGGTATGCCTCTGCGAATCCACATCTGTTGAGATTGAATAGCTAATGGTTCTTCTGTAGGCATCCGCGACGACTGTAGGCCCTAATCGGAGTTATTCCAGCAGGCGTACAATATACATACCTATAGCGTCTAATATAACGTCTACATATCGAGTATGAGCGATAAACATGCGAACACGACAAATGACAGCTACTTCTTACAAAACCCTTCAAAGTCTCAGCGCCGTGGAATGTGCACAATACGCGAACGCAGAACAGGTGTCACGAGTCCTCCTTCACATCGATCTTTTACCAATATTGATTGATTGATATGTGAGGTTTATCGTTCCGAAACCACCATATGATTATTAGAGACGCCGTAGTGGAGAGCTCTGGAAATTTTCACCACCTGGGGTTCTTTAACACCCAAATCTGAGCACACGGGCCTACAACACTTTCGCCTCCATCGGAAATGCAGCCGCCGCAGCCGGGATTCGATCCCGCGACCTGCGGGTCAGCAGCCGAGTACCTTAGCCATTAGCCCACCGTGCCGCGGCTTTTTACCAATATTGAGCGCCGGGAAATAAATGATAACCAAAAGCAAAATATGTCACAAAAGAATTAAGGAGTGGTCGTTTTAAATTCCCCAGAATTATTGTTTGAGTTCATGGTACAAAGAAACGGGGCTTTGCTCTAAACTGATGTATTATTCATAACAATGTAAAGCGTTAAATTGTAAAGCCTACTATGGGGGATAGCCCACTGTAGCCCCCGAAAGCCGGCAGGAATTCTAAAATTGCAATTCCTAGGTAGCCGGTCATACTGTCCCCCTCCATATAGTCTTCATGTTCGAAAAAGAAATGTGAGCATTGCTAAAAATTGAACCATGCGGTGAACGTACATATTGTTGGCAATCGTTTTGTGGTTTATTCACAGCGAGGCTTTCTCTAAAGGTGTGCCCTAATTGATAATGTAGTTCCAACTACCTTTTGCATTGAGTTTTTCTGTTCTTGCATCATAGAAGTCAGCAATGTTGTGCGAAATATTATTGTGCCGCACTAACACATGTTTAAAGAAAAGTACCAAGTGTTTGCATGATGTATAGTTAGTGGATTTCGGCAAGCATGGGCACGTAGGTCTTCGTGCATTTCTTTCTGCTTTGTGTAGTTCTCCTGTTGTTTACAAAACTACTGAACTTCCACTTAAGACATACGACAATCATAAGACCGTCTCAACTTGTTTTTTGCCCAAAATTAAGGTTCTTGCCTCTTGTAGACAATGATGCATTCATGTGAACTATAGCAATACCTGAAGTCAGTAGCACTGCGTTGAATGTGTCAGTTTCGGTACACGCTTAATGCTCTGTATAGAAAGCTTAATGCTTGTTCGTGCTACTGCACAATTTCGCTAGGGGCATTTATCTTATCGTAATCTCGCATTTGGTGATGTTCATACAGTCGGACAAGCAATACTTGCTTTGTGTGAAATAAATCGCATGAATAGTATGAGAGGCCGGTAGTAAATAAAAATTTATTTTATAGACAAAATGCCCCATCCTACCTTGAATGTTATTCTGCACCGATTCACAATGAATGGCACAATCCATCAAAAATAAAAACTACTGCCTAAATATGAGCAGCCCAAGTGGATTTTCTATTTTAATGAACTACAAGTCTTTTTTTCAAAACTAACACAATAGAAAGCTCTCATCAACTTAAACATGTCATCACTCTGCTTTACCTTCACTGCGTAATTTTTGCTCTCCGAACCACTTTTTCTAGCATGCACTAGCATCCTATACAGTCCCATTTCTTTACTAACCTGTCTGTCATAAGCTTTTCTGTGTATCGCTCCAGTCTGTTGCTAAAGAAGGCAATAAAGTTACATTACCACGTTGGCATTAAGAAACATGAGCCCCCGAACGTGAGTACCTTTCACTTTACCTCACCAACTCATTCACGAGAGTTCATCTTGATTCACCTATGTTCAAAACACACACACACACACACACACACACACACACACACACGCACGCACGCACGCACGCACACACACACATACACACATACACACACACACACACACGCACGCACACACACGTTTGCTTTAAGGCAGCTCCGCGACAGTAATCATGCAATACATTGCAATGTATACCTTTCCTAAGGACAATACACATTCATTTAAACTGGGCTACAAAACTGCGACAGTTCGCACTCCTAACTGCAAACATTACCGATTATGACTGACGAAATCATTAACAATCAACTCAACTGCTTCTACTGCAGGGAGACTCCGGCGGCCCACTGATGGTGCAGTCGAGGTCGAAGCAGTGGACCTTAGTCGGCGTCATTTCCTGGGGCATCAAATGCGGAGAGCCAGGAGTCCCAGGGATCTACACACGCATACCACATTTCCTGGATTATATTTATGAACACGCCGTCAATCAGTGACCACAAACTTCACGCGCATTTAATAAACTCACTTCATAGTCAGCATTGTCATATTATCGGTGAGAACGCCAAGATGTTACGATGGCGTTTCACGTTTGCCACATTAGGAATTCTCTTGACTGACTGACAAGCCCTGTGAGCAGTGGAGTGCTACTTAATGAACAGAGAAAACTGCTATTATTTTTTTTCCTTTTGTTTAGGAATGGTTGGTCGCCGGCGAGCCCACGATCAAGGCAGCCTCGAGTGTTAGATAACTCTCTCGTTTCACTTCAGGAAGCACAGGGCCAAAGCGCGTTGCCACGTAAACTGCCCGAAAAGGCATGCCGTCGCTTAGAGGCGAAAAGAAACTCTTTTTTATTTGACGATATAGAACGAACTAAAACCGCAGCCACTTTTTCAGAGTGACGTATTCAAGTTTTTCAGGACACCTTTCGACTTAAAGCGTTGCAGCCGCATGCCACGCGAGTTTGAGGTCACGGGTCGACGACCCAAGACCGATGTAATCAGTAATAGCCCCAGAACGAGTTGAGGGAAGGCCCAAACAAACGCCCGTCACTTCCACTGCATGTCAAAAGAGTATAAATAAAAGGAGATGCCAGCACTGTTCTCCGAGTCTGAGGCCTGTTCGCAGAGCTGCTAAATCGAATCGACGCGGAAATACCATCGCAACGTCATCTGCAGCCCTGAAGTAAACTTTCAATAAACTTCAAAGGTAACTGCCGCCACACGATTTCTCAGAGTACCGGGAGCAAGGTGCTTTCTGGCACGCGGTACATTTTTCTTTCTTCCATTTGAACTTTCACTAGCATTTCTTGTCATTTGCAACTATGCTGGCAACGCATTCTTTACGCTGCTTTTTCAAAGTTGTAGAGTCAAGTGGCAGGTAGCGACGACTTGCAAGCGATTGGTCTGAGTTTTCACTCCTTTGTTTTGTTAGCTCTGCTTTATATGGTGAATCAAGAACTTTCAAGTTTTCTTACATGGATACACAAATGCAGGTAAATGAAATCACTGGTGTTGTCACTTTTTTGTTATCTAAACAGCTACTGTTTTTGTTTCGAACCTTTAAAGGAAATCTGAAACACTATTATGAGTAACCATGAAATTAATTCACTGGAAAAGCGTATTACCTCACAAATTGAACGCCACAAAAATTTAGGAATCCTTCCAGCACAAGCGGAGTTACAAGGATTTGTCACACGCTGCAGTCGCATTACCTCTTCTCTTGTCCCTAGGTAAGCGCAGGAAGCTGAGCAGGGAAGGACGGGAAGGGCAAACAAAAAATGTCCGTCAGGCCTCATGACCTTGAGCAATTGAATTGTTTTCTTTCTTTTTTTACTACGAATACGTGACTTTTTCAGTGCGATCACACGCGCACACGTGGACAATTAAGTGACGGCCTCTCGCAGCAACCCCTGAATCAACCGAGCACGCCATGTTCAAATTAGTCAATGGCTGATAGATGGGCTTACTGGGCTTATTTTCCGTGATTGGTGGAGAGAAAAGCAAGCTAGTTTAGCTGACTTTGATAATTTATTGTGAATGTCAGGCCGTGTGCTGCGCTATAGTAGTTGGCTTGCGTGTTGTTGGGAGCCTCTACTACCGATCGGTAGCATTTTCTGACCCGGTGCTCAAAGAGTGTTGCAGGGCCCCTTTAAAATATATTGATACAGGAGTTACCTAAGCTCTCCAACGTTGCTAAATGTTTTGATCTCGTAGGTATACCTTGCTCACACAGTTTATTGCAAGAAAGTAATTATCCACGTCGCTTCATTTTTTTCTACGCGTTTATTGACCGCTAGCCATGTAACTTTTAATAACCAATGCTCCTCAAATTTTCGCTGCGAATTTATTTTTGTATTGTGTCATTTGTAACATATGCGCTACTGCATTACAGGCTAAAAAATGCCGCCATATCCACGAAGTGAATGATGATGAGTGGGCGAAGCTCCGGAGGTAAACCTGGTAAACCATGAATCCTCCGTACATTTTGCCCACTCGATTTTATTGCAACGCTCCCCCTAGCGTACGTCGCCGCACTATATCGAACGATGACACGCGCCATATGTGGCATCATTCCTATTTTATAACACCTCGCATCTTTCATAATCAACTACACGTACCGCCGTCTAGTTTATAACATCTTGCATCTTTTGGACGGACGGACGGACGGACGGACGGACGGATGGATGGATGGATGGATGGATGGATGGATGGATGGATGGATGGATGGATGGATGGACGGACGGATGGACGGATGGATATGGCTGTACCCTTTAGATCAGGCGGTGGCTAGCGTAATACTTAGAACTGAACGAGAGGTGGCTACATAAAGGGGACGCACAGCCCACGCCTTAAGGAGCTTCGCTCCTAAAAGTCCAAATTGTACTAACTGGAAATGTATCCACCGTGCACGACATAAAACATGCTAAATTTATTGGGACAACACATATAGAAACGCCTGCTGGAGGAAGGCTCCTTCCAATTGTCTATGAAAAATGTGGCTGATACCCCTACAAATAGGAATGGGTATAGCTCAAAAGTGAAACGCTTCTTTATTTAGGTAGTTGAGGGTTTATTGTGCATTGTTTCAGCAACCGCAACAAATTACGAAGTCACGTTAGGAATGGATCGATCGATATGTGGGGTTTAACGTCCCAAAACCACTATATGATTATGAGAGACGCCGTAGTGGAGGACTCCGGAAATTTGGACCACCTGGGGTTCTTTAACGTGCACCCAAATCTGAGCACACGGGCCTACAACATTTCCGCCTCCATCGGAAATGCAGCCGCCACAGCCGGGATTCGAACCCGCGCCCTGCGGGTCAGCAGCCGAGTACCTTAGCCACTAGACCACCGCGGCGGGGCACGTTAGGAATGGCAGGCAGTACAAAAATTGCAGCGCACACCTCAAGCAGAAAGAACGCACGAAATTAACATACACAAGAAGAGCGTGGGCTAACAACTGCCGCACCTCGACACTTAAAGCGCGCTGTTCAAAAAGAAAGAGAGACGCATGAAACGAGCGCACAAGTATACACAAGGCAAGCGCGAACAACTGTCACAACTCTTCCTGCGTCGTGTGTCAGCAGCACGCTCCTTTCGTAAACGTGGCCGTGGCTGCATGCGAAGTGACCTTCGTTTTTTCCCGAATTACGAGTCTGATAAGCACGTGCGCCGGAGAGACCATGCTCCGTGAAGGCAGTGCTTCGTGGAGGCGACGATTTTTAGAGTGCACCCAACGTGAGCCTGTCGCGCCATCTTACCACTGGTAACGAAAACGCGCTGATGTATCGAATCTCTGAGGACTTCTAAACGGTGCATGGTGCACATAAATGGCTTGCCGCTAACAATGCGACAAAGAAGGCTTTGTGGCTTTGTGGTTAGCGCTACGCGCTGGTAATCAAGTGGCTGCTGTTTTCATTCCGCGCGACATATGCTTGTTTCCTGTTTTTTTTTTCTTCTCCAGTCTATTTGTACAAAATTTTCAACGTCACTTCCGTGACGGAAGTACATTAACGGTGCTGTGATGAACCCGGCATAATATACTTTAGTGGTAATAAGTACCTTAGTCAGTCAAGCCCCCTCTTATGTGGCTCATAAAATAATTGAAAAAGTGGTGAATCCAATACGGCCATAGGTGCATGGCAGTGCAGAGTTGGTCGATGCAATAGGTCTCTTTTTCGTGAACTCTCTTTAGAGAGTACGTCACCAGGTTTCATTGAAATTCACAAAAAAGTCACAGTTTCGCCGAAAGGTAAAACAATGAATGCGATAGCAACATACTCGAACGTTTTACGAAGAAACGCTAGCATCTTTAGGAGCAATAATAATTGCAGTAAACATGCCCTTGATAAGTAACCAAGTTTTCTGCTGCATGGATACAGTAAATGAGCACAAGAAGGCTCGTGTATTTTGACGGCGTTGATGATAAGCGCCTCCCGTGGGCAGTGCATGTTATACTAAAGGCTATACGTCGTGTGTCGCCACTGATGGCATGTCATGTGTAGAGCGCATCTATATCTGTTGAAGCCCTCCCTCGGGTGTTCTCAGAATGATAGTAATTCAAGACCCACATGGCGAAATAAATTACGCATTTAATTGCATGTATGAATAAAGGCAGCAAATATAGTCTTCAATAACAACACCAGTGTATATAAATGAAACTCAGTTCACTCAATGACAGCGACAACTACATTGTGGTCGCTGAAGTATGTTGGCAATCATCAGTGCACGCAACGTTCGTTTTGCCCTCACGGAATTATAAGTCGACTCACTCAGTCTCACTCATACTCAATTTAAGCCGTGAGTCTGACTCTGAGTGAGTCCGCGGCTTAGTCATATGTTGGTGAGGTTGAGTTCAAGTGTGTCCGGTCGAGGAAAATGTTGGTGAGTCTGAGTCTAAATGAGCCCCAACAGCTAAATTGATTTCTTGAGAGAGTCTCAGTGAGCTGACCTTGTATTGCCGACACATGGTCACGTGACACTTCTTTTGGAGTACTTTTTAGTGACAGCATTAGCAGATTTACTCGAGTCTCTTCCCAGGAACCACCTTTCAGTGTTTGGTTACTATGGTTAGCATGTGCGCGAAAAGAGCCATCTGATGACGAAGGCAAGTTGATACTGTTGACACCGAAATCGGCTTTGCTGTAACCTTGGAACGCCATAAACCATTCACGAAATCTGGAAACTATAGCAATACGTGTATAGCCGCTACTACCGCATCATTGCTAAGAAGCGCAATTGGCTAATTGAAATGAGCAATATGAAAGAGTAGTTGAGACAAAGCTAAAATGCAATATCTAGCGATCATTGCCACTGCTGGGAAATTACGAGTTTTGTAGGTCGTAAATCTATGTTAGTGTGAAAGCACTCGAATAAACAAAAAATTATTTAAAATGAAGTACAACACTTGAAACACATAATATATGTGAACTTGAAATTGCCAAGTAGCAGAACGAGTGCACTATAGGCATAGAGATCACTTCCTAGGGGCTTTGTAATGCTTGTGACAATCTATGTGGCAAAATTGCTCGGCGA